GTGGGCTTGAGCTGACACTAGTGCTAGTTTCAACTGATCCAGTTATTGTTGATGTTTCTACAATGGTAACTTTAGAGACACCCTTAGTTGATGTGAATTCAGTTGTTGATCTAGAGGGTGTAGTCAAATCAGTACGCTGGGTTGAGCTGACACTAGTGCTAGTTTCAACTGATTCTGTCATTGTTGGTTCTACAAGGGTGACATTTGAGACAGTCTCAGATGATGGAAGATCAGTTGTTGATCCAGAGGGTGTAGTCACATCAGTACGTTGGGTTAGGCTGACACCAGTGCTAGTTTCAACTGATCCTGTTGTTGTTGCTTCAAAAGAGGTAAGTTTTTCAACTGCTTCAGTCATTCTTGTGCGTTCTACAGGGGTAACATTTGAGAAAGCCTCAGAAAGTGTAAGATCAGTTGTTGGTTCAGAGAGTGTGATCACATTAGTATGTGGGCTTGAGCTGACACTAGTGCTAGTTTCAACTAACCCAGTTATGATTGATGGTTCTACAATGGTAACTTTAGAGACAACCTTAGTTGATGTAAATTCATTTGTTGATCCAGAGGATGTAGTCAAATCAGTATGCTGGGCTGAGCTGACACCAGTGCTAGTTTCAACTGATTCTGTCAATGATATTGGTTCTACAAAGGTATCTGTAGAGACAGCCTCAGAAGGTGTATGATCAGTTGTTAGTTCAGAGGGTGTAGTCATATCAGTACGTTGGGCTGATGTGCTACCAGTGGTAGATTTAACTGATTCTGCCATTGCTGTTCGTTCTACAAGGGTAACATTTGAGAAAGCCATAGAAGATGCAAGATCAGTTGTTGATTTATATGGTGTGCTCACATCAGTATGTGGGCTTGTGCTGACACTAGTGATAGTTTCAACTGGTCCAGTTATTGTGGATGTTTCTACAATGGTAACTTCAGAGACACCCTTAATTGATGTAAATTCAGTTGTTGATCCAGAGGGTGTAGTCAAATCAGTATGCTGGGTTGTGGTGACACCAGTGCTCGTTTCAACTGATTCTGTCAATGTTGTTGGTTCTACAAAGGTATCTGTAGAGACAGCCTCAGAAGGTGCATGATCAGTTATTAGTTCAGAGGGTGTAGTCATAACAGTATGTTGGGCTGATGTGCTACCGGTGGTAGATTCAACTGATTCTGTCATTGTTGTTTGTTCTACAAGGGTAACATTTGAGAAAGCCATAGAAGATGCAAGATCAGTTGTTGATTCATAGGGTGTGCTC